GGAGTTTTGCTATTTGCGGGACTGCAGACTTTTTTTAAATTATAATTGTATATAGGATGGTTGATGAATTTACGTAGAAGAAGGAATAAAATAAATGGCGTTAGCCAGTAATGCAGATGATTTTTCAGATTATGAAGATTTGAACATATACGAAGACTAATATTTAACTTTTTTTTGTTTGCCCGAGATAATTTGTGATAGTAAACTGATGGTAAATTAAATATTTTTTACAGATAAAAAAAATTTAAATTTAAACTTAGAACTTGCCTCCCCTGTCCTCTTTGCTTTTAACTCAACTTATTGTTAACAATTTGACGCTTCTTAATTCCTTACATATATGTCAGTCTTAAGATGCAAATCTTTTTCTGTTTTTTTACTGAAAACGACAGTATAATAGCGTGCAATATTCTTTATGTATAGTGCTATCATCTTTCATTAAAATTTCCTTGACAGAATTGTCCTCTAAATAACGATGAATTGCTGTAATTACGATTATCTCACTACTCAGAGGACGACAAGCAATTCCTTATGCATACTTTGGTTGGAAAAAAAAAGTGTGGTAAGTTAGCGAAATCTGAAGCGAAGTGACGTAAAGCTCGTATTCTGCATTTTAAAATTATTTTTTTATTGTTTATGAACTCAAAGTTTGTATTTACTTCAACTTTCATTCTAACGTTTGGAATCGCGCTTCTTGTAGTTCTTTTTATTTTGTTTTTGTGCTATAATTTACTATAATCAAATATTTGACTTCAACTTTATGTAGCATTATGTATAAATTAGAAATAAATTTTAATATTGCTTATTAAATGTGTTTATTTATATAGGGGGTGCTTCTAATCTCGTTACCAAGTAAAAATTTCTTTTTTAAGAAAACTGATTTAAGTACTCATGAATAATGAATTTTGAGTTTCCTGTGAATTTTTTTTCTTAAATAAAGAAAATCAGAGATGTGAATTACGTTAAGTCAAAATTTCTCTGTGTTTAATACGAAAACTTACGAGTGTTTTAAAATGTATTTCCAGGTCTGTGCGAGAGGCTGTCCTTGTGTATCTATCTATCTATATATATATAATTTCTCCAAATCTTAGTGTGTGTATTTATGTATTAATCGTTAAAATTTAACCAGCACTTAAAAACATTTGAGATAACAAGCCTACTATATATATCTTTAAATTATTTAAATGTAGTGATAGTCAAAAACATTTTAAACCTCATTTATTAAGAAGAATTAAATATAATTATATAAATTTTGCAACCACATTAAATATAAAAATCATCCAGAGAAACCTGAAGACTTAGCAAACACTTATATACATATGAGGGGATTTATTTATAGACTCTATCAACCTTCATCTATCAAAAGGTACCTCAAGATGGATTCAAGCTATCTTATATTTTAGTGATTTGGTATTTAATATTTGTAGCGGTCTAGTGACGCCACATTACTCCCCTTCCAGAATTTTATCTGGGATAGAATTCGATGAACGAATACCACTAGTTGATTTAGGCTGTTTTTCTTTCTTTTTATTTATATCAATTTGCTCATTATATTTTTTCATTTTTTATAGCATTTCGTTCATTATATTTCTTTCTTCATATTTTTGTTTTTATAACATTTCGCTAATTTTTTTCCCCTTCAATATTGTTTATTGACCCGGAGACCTTATTTACTTCACCGGAATTTTTTTTTTAGCAGTATATTTTTAAGCAAATCAACTATTTAATGTGGACCATCCATTAATGTTGGCAATTTCATATCACGTCCGCAAGTCACCATCGAGGAGTTTAATTATATTATAGACCATGTCAACCTTCATCTATCAAAAGGTACCTCAAGATGGAATGAAGTTAACATGTCTTTTATACTAGTGATTTGGTATTTAATATTTGTAGTGGTAGTTACGCCATATATATTTTAGTTATGAAAGAGTAATTTCAACTAGAATTCAGCTATTCTGTTTTTAAGCTACATATTAAAATTCATANATATATATATATATAAATATATTCAACATAAAATTCGATGAAAAAAAGATTTTCTTAGAATTTTTGTATGTATTAAAATTCTGGGAAAACCAATTTTATTTCTAAAGCGCTTCAGTAAACATAACATGAAAGCTATTTACATTTTTATTTTATTTAGAGAAGAAAAGTTTTTTCTGTTGACATACGAAAGTATTTTTTATTGTCATGAAAAATATTTTTAACCTATGATCTTTATTAGTTTCTAAAAGTAATAGATTTTACTTTTGAAAACTTTATAATTAATGTTATTGTATTTTTTAGATACTCTTAAGAATTCAAAGCTTGCATATTTTTTTAATTATTGTAAGAAAATATGCATGAATAAGTTTGCGATTGATTAGTTTTCTTTTTAATCTTATAAATTATTATTTTTTATTTATTATTTCTGATTTTTCGCTACATCAAAATAATATTTAAATGCTGATAATTTTAAGAAAAAACTTATCTGCAGTTTTAGGGAAATAGTTTTAGTTCATTGAATAGGTTTTGTTTAAAAATACTATTTTATAATATATGCATAAATATAGTAACATGCTTATATGTGCATGGACTTCTTAAATGATTATAAACATATACAACAAATTGCATTTTACACATATGCATATGAATTAAAGTGCAGGATTTCATGCTTTACTTGCTTATTTATTTGAAAAACAAATGAATGAAATTAGTAATTTGATTTAAAGCAAAGTTTACGAATATAATTACAATTGAAATATTATTAAAAAGTATATAAAATACCAATTTTTTTTAAAACTATGTAATTCCATTAAAAGTTGTTTCATCGAATTTAAAATTCCCGAACTGCATGCTTCAAATTTACCAAAACGGGAGAAGAAATGTATCATCATTAAAAACTAAACTCAGTGGCGCTACAGCCAAAAGAGGGCCTACTGTGTCCATCTCAGTTTTCTTGACCTTACGCTCTGGGGTGCGATGCAGATGTTCCGGTTAGGTGGTCAGCCAACACCTACGAACGCCAAACCTCCAGTGTTTAGTTTTCAAGCACGCTTGGTACTCATTTATCGACCCACTCTTGGCCAAGGACCCACTGAAGGGATGAAAGGCTGAGTCAACCTTGCCCGGCCCGAGGATCGAACCTTGGACTTGTGGCACTGGAGTGCGAAGCGCGACCGCTCAGCCACCGGGCGTTGATGTGAAATACTAATTGTGTAAAATTGTTTCATTCAAAAACAACTTAAAATCAAAAAACTTTTAAACTGTTAATTTTAAAACTCATTAAGAATTAAGAAAGAGAGTTAAAACAAAGAAATAATATTATAAATTTTAATATTTTTTAAGTCACTTCATAATAAATTTTAATATTTTTTAAGTCACTTCATAATAAATTTTAATATTTTTTAAGTGGCTTCAAAAATTATTTTTTTTATATATTTAAATCGCATTTGTATTTAAGCTTTCAGTCATATTATTTAGTTATATTACATGTTTATTTTAATAATTTCCACTGTTACTTTGTATAATGAAATAAGCGAAAATTTGTTACATAAAAAACTTTAGAATCATATAAATTAAATTAAAATGTTTATTTCAATCTAAATATTTTATATCCTTTTTACTATCTCTACAAAATAAAACAGTCTTTCATTAAAATCGTTATTGAAGTATAAATCTATTTTCACATTTTGCTTGTTAAAGTGCACTCATCATCTATATTTGCGTACGAAAATGTATTCATTATTTATTGACGTGCGCTCATTTGCGAAAAATTATAAAAGCGATTAATTCTTTCTTTGACATCGAAAAATCCGAAAAATTTTAAATCTAATTTATTTGATTATTTTAAAATGAAATTTAATTAAAAAAAATTAAGACTTCTTACATATTTTTAGATATATATTTAGACCTAAGTGTACATGGCTTAAAAAATAATCATAATTTTAATATTTATAGTTTTTGCCTAGCATAATTAGCAAAAAAAATCTTTAACTTTAGCATAAAGTATTCATACTCAAAAACTAATCACCGCATATCGATAGCATTTTGAGATGTTATTCAAGCATTTCTTTAGAAATATGCAAATTTTTATAATGTTTTATGTTATAGCCTTTGAGTTACGACAATGAGATGCGATCCACACTGAATAATAACTTTTGTTATAGTGATTCACTCAACCTCAAAAATGCTAACTAATGAGTGGTTACCATAATTTCAGTCACAAAAATGCACTTTCTATGAATAAATTTTTATGAGTTTCTCTTTTTTTCTCCCCCCGAAAGTCTTGGATTTTTAATTATTAAAATATGAGAAGGGTAGCTGTTGTAAAAATAACCCTGATAGTTTAATCAGGAGAGCGGTTAAAAGTTTGGGTACTTAAGGTACCCAAACTTTCGTATTTCGTATGAACTTGCGTATTTTGCCATATTTAGATTATGAATTTATTTAATGAATTTCGAAAATATTTGAATTGTTTGGCATAAAACTGTTCCAAACTATGTAATTTTTATTAAAAAAATAAAAAAAATTGGATGAAATAGTGTTTGAGAAATAGAATTTTATAAAGATATTGCTTTTTTTTGAAATTTTAAACCGATTTCGGTCATATTCTGTATTGAGTGATCAGAAATTACATAATTTAAATATAGAAATTAACATAAATAAAATATAGAAATTTGTTTACCTTGCAATTCAATATTTTAACCATTATTAAATAAAAAATATATAATTGATTTATAAAGAATGAACACTATATTATTTCATTAAATTTATGTAAAGTGCATCCCGAAATATAATTCATGACAGTAAATCGAGTGCATATATTAAATTCTATTAATATTTAAAAGAATCCGGTTTTACCCCTCTTGAATATCGCAATTTCCGAAATATCACCCATATTAGATACTCGCATTAAATTAATTTGTGTTGTCATTATCAATAAAAATGTTGAATAAGTTATCCATACATGTTCTCATTTTTAGTGCTTTTTTTTAATGAAAAATGTTTCTTATTTACAGGTGAGTCTTTGCATTGTTATGCTTTATAAACTTGGTTGTTTCATAGAAGGTAAGTTGAATAGTTATAGTATATATTAATTTTCTTTTTAGGGAGCAGTTTACTGATCGTTTTACTGAAAAGTTCGGATAAATCGACTGTATAATATGCATAAATAAACCACTAATTATATTTCTTTCCCTGAATTTATAGCCATCGTTTCTTAAACTATGGGCAGCTTTTATAAATTATTCAAAGCGAAACTGCTCGCTATTAGCAAACAGATTGATTGCCGTTATAGAAAAGCGGCGCTGTCTCACGTCTTTGTTATAATTAAAATTATTTTTAAAATGAATTTCCCTATACTGAAAAAAATTTCTATAATTAATATTTTTTCTGCAGTCTCATTCAAAAATAGAAGGAAATAAAACTTTTAATCGAAATTTCATGTTTATATCTGTAACAGATCCTTTGTTGTCATAATTTTGAAATGTTAGATGTGGAAATTCAAAGATTATTTCGTAAAAAATCGACTCCTCAGAATTTTTTTTTCTCCAAGAATCAAAAAATTCGTCTTAAGACTATTTATGCAGTCAGGAATTTTTTTTATGGGAAAAAAACACAAACTTTATGATGGAATAAAAAATTCTAAGTGTTTTTTCTTGAATGTTATAGGTTTCGGATGCGCAGAAATACCGAAAAAATCACGGAAATTCTTTATAATTAAAACACTAACGAAAAATTAAAACTTTTAGACTCCTGGTACATTTTATATAGTCACCATTTACCAGCATATTGCATTTCCTATCTGTAAATGCCACCATTTTCCCACCACAGTTTGGATTTAGAGACACGTGTCTTATGTTATTTCATTAAGAAATTTTCCTTAATATTTTTTATTAGAATTTAGGAGAAAAGTGATGAAGAAATATCGAATGATATTTTTGACTAAAATTGTCAATAAATAGAACATTAATTAGTTCTTTCATTTTTTTAAAATTTCTGATTTATTTTACCTTTTAATGAATTCCTTTATTTTGTTCAATTAATATGCGAGTTTTTTTGTAATTGGCAACATGCACAAGCTACAAACACTCTTATTTTTTAATTAAAGCACTTTATTTTAATCTAACCAATTTTTTTTTAATTGGCGAAATTGTTGTTGTAAATCGCAATTATTGAGTGAAAAAATTCCTATAAACAGACTCTAATGTGTCACATTTTATCTTCGTGGACTTAAATTATTCGCAATCATTTTAATTATTTATATAGTAGTAGTTTTCAATAACTAACAAGTGTTTATTTTGTCGCACTCTCGAATGCTTTTTTATATACTTCGAACAAAATAGTACTGTTTAGTACTTCTAAAAAAATAGTAACTCGTTTCCTGTACTGTAATGAAAAAATTATATCTCTATATCTCTAGAAGGCTACTCAATATATATCTCTAGAAGGCATATATCTCTAGAAGACTACTCAAAATGAGAAAGAAAAATTCTCAAACTTCTCATCAATTGCTAAGTAGATATTGAATAATGGTTCAGTGAATGAGAAGGCCATTTTAATAACAATCAAATTTAATAATGATAATGTTGTATTTGTTTGGCTACTAAATAAGCCTTTCTTTCCAGTCCAATGCCTGCCAAACCAAGTGATACATATTGATAAGGGACTTATATCTATGATATTGATATTTATTATGCCTGATTACAACGCCCTCTGTTGGTCAGGCAGAAAGTTAGAATAGTAGAAAATACCAACTTTAATTTTTCTTTTTCTAACAATTTGTTCCAATTGTGTGTGATTAACAGTATTTTTATCCGACGGAATTGGAAAATGATTTAAGTTTTCGAACCGTTTTTCAAATTGATGGGCAAAACTGGAAATTGAACAATATTCTCAAAGAAATTCTTTATAACTAAAAATTTTTGATGCAATATAT